TTCGGAACCAGATGCCGCTATTTATGTTGCGTTTATTAGGGTTCTGAACCGCGGTTGGACTAGAGTAACTTACAGTTAGCTCATTTCACATTCCATTCCATTCTATGCTTTTTGCTTCGTTTCATTAAGTATCCCCATATCCCCTGTTTAGCTCGCGTTTTTCTCATATTTTCGCTATTAGCCGGTTGATATCCCCTGATTTGCATTTATACTTTTCCAAGATCATCCTAAGAATAGAATTCATACATTTTTAATTTGCTTACTTCCGTGATTCTATCTCACAGTTAATGTTCAGTTTGCGAACAACGCAGGACGCGGAAGACGCTTAACGGGCATGCGGAATAGGTGTTCAAACCATCGCAGTTGACGCAGGTGAGACGAGGTCCTCGAGTGAGTGGCTGCCTCCACTGTAGTCTAATTTTTACATCACATGGCGCAATCACCACACACGGGTAATGGGCCGCAAGCAACGGTGCTCGAAGACAGACAATCGGCGAAGGTAGAGAAACTTCGGAATTGAACAGTATTTTGGAATCTTACTAAAGTTTACAGTGTAAAAGGTCGACATAAACGTTCAAAAGTTGGTTTCAAGCTAAAGACAACCATAGCGGTCATGTATATGCAAGTTGCTATTCCAGCATTTGATTGAGAGCGGATACCTGGCGAATTCAGATTCTATCGGGACAGAAACTCGCTGAGAGTTATATAAATGGCATGGTCCGCACAAAGTTGAAGTGACAGAGTGCCTTTATCCTACATTAGGCATACATTTTTAAACGGCCTTCGAGGAGTTTCTCAGGGTCCGATAAGCGAACCGTGTGAGAATAAAGTACACAGCAAAGAACCCAGTGCTCATACTTAACGCTATAAGGGCAAGGGGTACTCTTGAAGGATAAGAAATAAACCACTCGGAGGTGTTTCAGTGTTGCTCCTCCGCTTTATCTGCGAGTTTGGATTCACGAGAAGCTGGATAAAGAAATCACTTAGAAGCCAATTCGTATACAGTGTATCGAGAAAAACATGCACAAAGCTTTCCAGTGGACCTAACAGTGGTGTCATGGTTTGTGTGCCTCAGCAAACCATTGAGCTACGCTGGGTGGTGCTTTTGCATCTTCAGAGTCACTCATACCAGATTAGAGGCCAGACAAACTCAGCTTCCTGGTCCTCCAGGTTGGGGGTTGAAATGAGGGTGGCAGTTTATTCCTTAAAACGGACTCCTTGTAGCCCAACGCCAAACCCGCTGCCTTGCGGTCAGGTTTTTTAACCAAAGGCTTTGGTTGAGAACAATAACCGTTTTCCTGTCTAGGCCTGGATAACAAAACAGTATCCTGCCCACGCAATACAATGAATCACACATCAAACAAATTTCTGATGTTCTGGCCACCGCAGAGGATAACCAACGGTGCCCTATCTGCTGCATCGAGCAGGGTGGATAGGAGTTTGGATGCTACTGCTCAAGCCTTCCCGTCTTCTCATTCCCCCTCTCAGGCTTTTTCACTCTTACCGTCCCCTTCCAACTTCACTTGTATCCCCCCAGTTATAGACCCCATAATTATTGGCCCTTCCCCAACATGCTTTGCTAGGCATTTACCTTCTAATTGCAACTCCCATGCTAATGCGGAGCGTCACCCCTCTCCCGTCGACAAGCCCAAGTCCAACCAAGCGGTCCATTCCAGTTCATCGGTTTCCATTTGGAGCCCTCGATCCTCCTTCAGATTGGCATGCCTCAATGTACGCACATTACTACAGATCGGTCAACAGGCAGCACTTGCCCGAACATTAGAGACCCTCTCGATCGATATCTGCTGCTTATCAGATACCCGCCTGCAAGACTCGAGCTCTGTACTCACTCTGCGATCCCCTTCAGGTGACGCAAACAGTCTTTCCTCATTGCGCCTATCCGGTGACGATGCAGCTTCGAGCACCGGCCAAGCTGGTGTTGGCATTGCCCTGAGTCCCCGGGCTGAAGCTGCTCTGGTTGATTGGATTCCAATCAGTAGCCGGATGTGCGCGGCCCGATTGGCTGGCTCGTTTAAAGCTTCAAAGTCGCGCGGGACTAACAGGTGTCTATTCATCATCGCTGCCTACGCACCCACAAACTGTAGCGATGATTCGGTAAAGAACGACTTCTACCGCCAAATGACTCAGCTCCTTCGCCACAGAAGAAGCACGGACACTGTTGTGCTGGCGGGGGATATGAACGCACAAGTTAGAAAGTTGTCCACTGATGAAATGCATCTGGGCGGTCAGTATGGTGTAGGCTCCCGTAATGATAACGGTGAGCGGTTACTTCATTTGTGTGAAGATGCTCGCTTATTTCTTGCGAGCACTAATTTCCGACACAGCACCCACCGGAGGGTGACCTGGCGCCCACCAGCCTCGAACCAGCCTGGGACGCAAATCGATCACATTGCTATCAGCTACCGCTGGAAAGGCTGTATCCAGAGCTGTCGCTGGATTTGGAGCACATGTGTGGACACCGATCATGCACTTGTATGTGCTGACATGCGGATGCGTTTTGGCGGACGCCCACGACGACGCTGTGAGCGCATTGGCACCAGCCTACTGACAAAGCCAGCTGTTCTGAATGCGCATCGAAGTACGCTGACATGCGAGTTGAATAAGCGTTCAATGGAGACAATTGATGTTCACTGGTCACATGTTCGCCACATCTTACTAGCAGCAGACAAATCCTCATGTGGTATGTCTGACAGCCAACATGGATATTGGGTATCTTCGCGGTCTCTGGAACTTATCGACGTTCGCCGGCATATCCCGGCTGGAAGCGAACACAATGAAACTCGCAAAGAGCTCCGGGCAAAACTCCATGCTAGCCTGAAGAGAGACCGCGAATCTTGGTGGTCCCGTCGTGCGTCAGAGATGGAAATGGCCGCTACGCTTAGCAACCATCGTAAGTTATTCCGTCTGATACGGGAAACGGGTAGCAGGAGACCTGGTGTTAGTGAAACTATACGTGTCGACAGTGGACAGCCTATCCACAGTTTGTCAAAACGTTTGGAGCGTTGGGCTGAGCATTATGAAAAGCAATCGGCTAGAATTGTTCGATTCGCCGGCCAGTGATCGCCCTGTTCCGTGGGCTGTCCCGCTGGATCCACCCTCTCGCTCAGAACTCGAACGTGCGATCGGACTGTTGAAGTTAAACAAAGCCGCGGTACCTGATCACCTTCCTCCAGCCCTCTTCAGATTCGGAGACTCTACTCTTGTTGATGCTTTACATGAATTACTAGTGAAACTGTGGGAGCAGGAGACTGTCCCAACCAACTGGAGCCGCTCCGTTATTGTTCCCATCTTCAAAGGAGGCTCGTGTTCGGAATGCGGCAACCATAGAGGAATCAGTCTGATCTCCATTGCCTCCAAATTATTCGCCTCCATAATTCTTCACAGACTGACTGGCGCTCGTGAAAGCCAGATTCGTGAGGAGCAAGCCGGGTTTCGTCGTGGTCGTGGCTGCATCGACCACATCTTCACCATGCGTCAGTTGTTGGAGCACCGCTACACATATTGGCGGCCCACAGTAGTCGTGTTCCTCGACATAAAAGGTGCTTTCGATTCGTTTGGCCGATGGGCCCTTTGGAATTGTCTACTCAGGAAAGGTGTGCCCGAGAAATATGTAAATATTATCCGATCATTATACGCGCGTAGCACGGGCAGAGTGAGGGCTTACGGCAAGCTGTCGCTACCCTCCAATATCTCCAGCGGTATGAAACAAGGATGCCCGTTGTCACCTTTCCTATGCAACTTCGCTATTGACGAAATCATGGAAATGGCGTTTATAGGACATGAGTTAGAAGGTATGGAGCTACTCCCAGGAGAACGACTTCTTGACTTGGAGTATGCTGATGATATTGCCCTAATCTGTGACAGCTCACAAACGTGCCGAGGCGCGCTGGACAGATTAGCACTGGCTGTCAGCCGCTTCGGGCTTTGCTTTGCACCATCGAAGTGCAAAGCGTTCCTCCAAGATTGGCAGGGATCGCCTCCTGCGCTGACCCTTGGTGGGGATCAGCTAGAAGTCGTTCAAAAATTCAATTATCTGGGAAGTTGTATCAGCGCCCTTGGGATCGAAGACGAGATCACGAACCGTATAGCGAAAGCTCGAAGTGCTTTTGCTGACCTTCGCCATCTATGGCGGCGGCGCGACATCACTCTCGCCCTGAAGGGTAGTGTACAATGCAGCGGTAGGTTCGACCCTACTGTACGGTTGCGAAACCTGGCCCATATGATCGGCGGACATGAAGAGGCTAGTTACGTTGGACCATCGGTGCCTTCGCAGTTTGGCTCACATTGGTGGGAACACGGCGTGACTAACGAGCGTGTTCGACGCCTTGTTAACGGCACATAAAAAGGAACTGACGTGTATAATGATATGATGATGAGTGGACAGAACAACATTTCAATACCCAGCGCCTAACTCAAAGCCTTACTGGGTGATACAAAGAAGACTAGTGTTGATCGAAGATGGGTTCTGGAGCATTTGAACAATGGTGGTGAGAGGCTTTGTATTTGGAGGAGGATAATTAAAAGCCAATAAGTATCAGAAACACGCATTTCTGGGTGATGCCTCGAAGTGTTGCCTCACGTCAATAGGGTAGGATTTTCAATGCAATAATCCATGCTTTCCATGAATCTTTCAATAGAAAAAAGCTAATAGCCAAATCCAGGCCATCAACAGTAAAATTCATCCCATTATGCTCTTAACAGGTGAGGCGTATGACATTTGCAACCATGAAAATGTGCAAGAAGGGTCACTCGGCGTAGAGCAAAGGGCGATCGAGCAGCTGTACTCGTCTCACCAAGTTAAATACCGATACCATCGAAGCGAATCGAAGCACGAGTATGTGTTTGTCGGGTGTGCAACTAAGCTATATGTGAGACGGCACTCAGTTAGTAAAAGAGGATGCGGCAGACAAAACGATAGTACTAAGGTTGTCAAAAATAACATTTAGGGAATTTTCCAAAGCGGATCAGCGGACACTCACGTGGAAAGACTAGGGCGCAACCCAATCAGGAATGCCAGTGCGTAGGTGACGAAATGTGAGCCACGTCCAATCGGAAGGACTCTATGGGTGAGTAGGGTGATGAGCAATGAGGCCAACTCCGCCGAGAACCTGTGAGATAGATTGGAGAATGGATTCTTGTAAGACGGTTTGGTCGATAACAGATGATGACCGAGATATATCGTAAAAGATGATTAGTAGAGAATTTCAATGAACCGAAGAGGCAAGGGGTTGGAGATTTCTATTTCTGCACAGCTTCTGGCGAGGCAAGCAAGCAGGTTGAGTATCATTCAACCGAAGCAATTTAAATGGTAACGCCGATTGCATAGAATGCACAAAAATATCATGCACAGCTCTGCATACGCCGGTCAACCTGTGCTGGTTTCATTGGTCATTAGAGCCAAAGACAAGAAGGCGCTCTGACCGCGGGACAAAGAAATCTAGAAAAGGGAATGGACTGTTTCCTCGCAACAAAGTAAACTAGTACATTAAAACCAGAATACAATGGTGCATAAGTTGATGATGAAACATCTTATGACGCTCCCCACCAGCGTATCCAGATAGCGTTCACTGAAACGAGTATTCATAGCTTCAGACGGGAAACTCATGTAAACGTGTGCTGATGGCACAAGTCGTGTCAATACGAAACAGTCGCACATTACTCCCTAACGGTTACACAGTTAGTGCTCTTCTCTCTCTTACGGAATTGATCCGTCCCATCTTCACCCAGTACAGACATCATACAATCCTTCGAATCCGAATGACATCCTAGTACAGCCTTGCCAATCTCAAGGGAGTTCACCGGCGATAGTGCACTACGGGACCTGAACAAAAGGGTCGCTATGAAGAGACCCAAACTATTCAGTTCATAGCGGAGTTCTCCTTAAGGAAACTGCCACAAAGGGTCCACACAACTGCACAGATCACAACGGAGTTGCCCTCAGTGAGAACACGGCCAAAGTATCCCGTACAGTTTCTACTTAATTCGTCCAGTCCCCCTATCGTACCTCTCGGACTCTCCTCAAGTCAGCCGTCTGTCTGCTGAGCCGTGTTCATGCCAATGTCTTAGCCATCGAGCACACACAGCAACTGTGATGGGCCCACTGTCTCAAGATCGAACCCACTCCACCTCTGTCTTGAGACAGGACCACTACATGGCAATTCATGTGCCAACAAAGATACGCTTTCCCTTATGGTTTGTACAATTACTACTGTTTTAGTGAACTTTAAATATGAAGGTTACCTGTGGATTTTGTGAGTAGTGTAATGTTCGTAGAAAGTGGAAGTCACGATAATCTGCCTCGACGGAGAATCGAACCCCGGTCCCCCGGTCATTTGTGGGACCGGGGTTCGATTCTCCATCGAGGCAGATTATCGTGTGAAGTTTAATCGTGACTTCTACTTTCAACGAAAATATGAAGGTGTAGAAAGCACGGTTGCTTTGGTTGAGTCAGTAAAAGCACTCTTGCTAGTGGCCAATTTTCTTTCTGCGGGTCTCGGTACAGTCGTGGGGGTTTACGGGTTCCGTCTGCCGGCTAAGTCCACTAGCCGTTCCAATTCGAATCGTCTAGGCTACTCTGCGCGTGGGAACCAACGAGTGAAGGAGTTCGTCCGTTCCGACTAGGACAGTCGAAACTCAACTAGGACGTTTATAACATCCTGTAATCAGTGGGCACCTTTACGAAATGGTTCCCTAGGCAATTCCTGTAGTCCAACTTGTTTAAGCACACCTCATAGCGACACCACGCGTGCAACTTTCACGTCCTTTAACAACTCTTACAGCTGCGAAATTGAGTTTGATTAAGAAATCTCCACGCTATCTGGAGATCACGGAACAACTTATACGAGAACATTTCTAAGGAGGAAACAACCCTATTTGTGGCCTTCAATTACATTGTTCTATCGCTGACAACCACTAATTACAAGGCAGATTAAAAGGTGCAGCCTCAGACGAACTAGACCGATCGATAAAGCAGCCAAACCGCCTGTGCGTGTGTCATTCCCGTAACACACCTGCCTACGATAGCCGAAAACAGAGGCACGATTGTGACAACGAATGTGAGGATCAGTCATGCTCAACCTCAGAAGTGCGTCCGAATAAATGGAACAGGACTAGCCAAAAATAGATTGGTGGCCAACTACCAAACGCTAGGCTTAATGCAAATTAAAATTTGACATCCAGCAACGCAAACCTAACGTATACAACCTTATCCCGTTTGTACACTAACCTCCAAAGCCTTCAGGGAAGGTTGGCCGAGCCAAAAGAGCGTTTAGCCTCAGAACCGCAGGATATCACGATGATTACAGAAGCATGTATAAGCCTAGACATATCTGATTCTGGTATCAATGTGCCAAGTATGTCGCCGCTTCGGTATGGTAGAAGTGAAAGGAGTGGTGGTGTAATACTTTAGTAAAAAACCAATCTCCCATGCGGATGCACCGATCACCAAGAAATCCGTGCTCCTGATTGGCTTTGGTGCCGGATATAGCTGCGTAACGAGAACACATGTCTACTAGCCTAAATTCATCGCCCACGAAACTCTACGTCAGAAATGGACTACAGACTGAACCAAGTTATGGGAATAATACATTCTCATTGCGTGTAAGGTAGGAAATTTTTTAGAAAATATCGGTTAGAGGTGAGATTCCGGGAATCGTTGTCTGATGCACCTGAGGCGAAGTGCGGCGTACATAAAAATTCCGAGCTATATCCACGCCTTTTCATGGTTTTCATAAATGGTCTAGCGAGGTCAATTGCTTCCGAATTCCGATCGGTCGCAAAAAATACCAGGAGATGGCTAGAGATCGGAGGACCACATGACTCCGATAACCTCTAACGAGATCTTGACGCGAAATCAAATTCCCTACCATTAAATATGCATAAATAACAAGTTTGAAACAATTATATCCCTTTAGTAATTAGAATAAAGCCGTAAGAAGACGAACACTGGCAGATATCAACATTTCGTACTGTCTCTTCAGTGCCAACACAATAACATGAAAATATATACGACAGGTAAGGTGAGACCGGGACAAGTTAGGACAGGGTAGGTGGCAGGCGTGAAACCTCTACGCCCAGGGCAGCCGTAGGCTTACCAACAACTGTTTCTGCACACAGAGTGCGGGTTTGACACGGCTGCTGGCGACTGCCTCTGTGAAACGTAGGAAACGGGCGTTAGCATGTCATAACACGATTGTAAACATTTTGGCCGGATCAAACTGATTACAGGTGGCCAGCAAATGCCTACCTATGGATGAAGCAGGTGGCTTACATGAACAGATGGTATGAGCAACCGACGAATAGGTGATTTGATGCTGCAACCATTTAGATACAAGTTCCCTTATTCTGGAGTTCAACGATCTATTGGTACGGCCGATGTAGTGTATACCACAACTACAAGTAAATTGGTAAATACCATGTGAGTTGGCGCCAATGGGTTGTCTTTCCGTCATTGGGGTAACAGATATTCGATTAGTCCGGTTGGTAAGAACAGTTTCAGCAGCAGTCCTATGGACTGCGGAGGTTATGCGCTTCGTTATCCTCACATTGGCAAAACCCCTTAAATGGTAGCTCGAAGTAGGTCTTCTGTCCCGGCACCCACGCCTGACTATGTTTGTCGATGAATCTTCTTGGATAGCCAATTTTCAACAGCGTATCCTTGAGTGAGGTTATCTCATCATCTAAACTGTAGGTAATGCATATTTTCCTTGCACGGTTGAATAGCATCTTGACTAACGTCCACTTGTACCGCATTGGGGAGAAGCTGGTAAAGTGCAAGTACTGCCCTGACCAAGTCGACTTCTGATAAACATCTGCTCTTCGGCAAATCAAAACGTCCAGATATGGGAGGCAGTTGCTTTTCTCTGTTTCGCTGGTTACTTTTAGGTTCGTATGCACGTTATTCAGATGATCGGCCAGACGCGCAATGTGCTCCTCAGATGAGCTAAACACTATCATCCACATACCGCTTATAGTAGGAAAAAAGCGGTATTTCTGCACCCAACTTCGTTTCAATAATCGATATGAAATAATCTGCTAGCACTGGGCCTAACGGACTGCTCATTGCCACCCCATCTATCTGGCGATAAGGTGTGTTTTGGAATTAGAAAACGATGTTCTCAGTGCATAGTAGTAAGTTGTCCTTTAATAATTCGACTGGCATTGGAAGAGTTAAATCGGAGCACTCTGCCATTTCACATACGTAATCAACTGTTTCATGTAGCGGAACATTGGTGAGAAGTGATTGTACATCTAATGTGGCCATGACTTTATCGGCTAGGTTAAATTCATCTAAAGCCTCGGTAAGCTCGAAAGAGTTCTTCAGACGGTGTGGGATAGTCTGCCGCTTTAACGGCGCATAAAGTTCCACCAGCGAAGAAGCCAACTTATGATGTGCCGAGTTTGCCATTGAGGAAATTGGTCTAAGCGGTATACCACATTTATGGGTCTTCGGCAACTCGTATAGCTGAGGTAGGTTGGACCCTCCGGGTTTTAAGTTGTTATATACCTCATCATCACTCACACGGTGTAAGATGAGCAACTTTAGGTGTTCCGTGAGGCGTCTTTCCATTTCATTAACGTCCTCTGTTCTTGTAAGGAATTTAAATTTGTTAGTATTACTCAGTAAACCTTGCATTTTCTGTAGGCTTCCTTGCACATAATGACGGCTCCTGAGCCTCTGTTTGGCTTAAGTACAATCACCCCTTCGTTCTCAGCTCACGTAGTGCACGAAGGTGACGGCTTTTAAGCAAACACTTCCCACGCACCGGCGTCATTGTGACCTCATGGGCAATATCAGTTAGTTTATTACTAAACGCGTTTGACATATCTGGACTAGACGCCTGTAATTCTGCTAACTGTTCATGAAAGTTTTCAAACTGTGCCTCTATGAACAAGCGGTTTAGCTTACCAGGTGGGACTTTGTAATCCATTCCGAGCGATAATGTTTCCAGTTGTAAGGCATCAAGGGGAACATTTGACAGGTTTAAAACGTACGTACTGGGGTCATGATAAGCAGGCTCCACCTTATCGCCAGATAGATTGGATGGCAATGGTAAGTCCTTTGGGCCCACTGCTAGCAGATTATTTCATGTCGATGACTGAAACGAAC